TCATCTTCGGCTTAAAGTTTGCTGTTGCCTGAGGTTCGTAGGTTTCCACTCCAGGCCGGAAAAAGAAGGAAAAAAATTGACAGCATTTATATCATAATAACATATTTTGGTATGTACAATACACTTAATTTAAACAATAAAAACTAAAAAGCAAATTAAAAAATAATTTTACAGATACATTAATTTACATTAATTAACTTTGTACTGATCTACTTGTAACGCAAGAATTTTTTTCACGCCTTAGCTTGTATACAAAATTTGCGTAATTAATGTCAATCTTGCTGTAAGTGAATTACGGAAATAGGAAAAGGTTTACTTCAAATTTGACTGCTCAATGTTTACTTTAACGTGAAAGGTCTGCAGTTAAGAAAAAGTAGGCTTATAAATATTAATGAAGAGAAATGGAAACCTCGAATTTATTAATAGAAATACCTGAGAAATTTCTTTTCAAATAAATAAAACATAGCATTGCAATTGGACAAGATGCATTTTGACGTCAAAGCCAATCTCTAAAACAAGGGGAATTATGCTACCAGGTAGCATAATTATGAAGATATTTTGTAAAATAAAATATAATTTAAAAAGTAAGAGATTGTTTTGAAAGATATGGATGAAAATGACCTTTATGAACATTTTCTTTATTTTGGAATGCATCGTTCGAAATTTTCCATTAAACACTCAAAAAAAATGTTTTGAAGAAAATAAAGCACTGCAGCAATCTCATAAAAAGGGCAGATGAACTGTATTTAAAAAAAAAACTATGAAAAAATGTAGCGGATATTATAAAGTAGTGTGTGTGCGCATTTTGTATTTTTCCTGTTTTTTGCAATATATGTCAAATTCAAACTGTAAATTTTTCTCACCCTGCTTGCGGTGCATGTGCTTTCAGTGCTTATTCAGCTGAAAGTTTTTGACTAACTGTAAACCTTGTCAGTCCCCAATGTCCAATATGGAATGTTTAGTAATAAATTGTTCATAAACTGTATTCTTTTATTATATATAAATCACAGTTTCGCAAATGACATGTATTTAAAAAATGTTTTGCAGAGGAAAAAGTAAAAATGAGAAAAATATAGTGGATATGTAGTAAAATGTGTTTACATTTTGTATTTTTTCAATATAAGTCCATATTGGTCTTTTTGTGGTTTAGACTGCATTTTATCATAGTTTGTGTTAAACAAAATAAGAATGTTTAATTTGATCGTGCTCTCATTTAATATCTTGGACTGTTAGCAGTATACAGTAAACAATAGTACTATGAACAGCTTTTGCGCTAACACGAAATAGTACAAGCAATAATGAATTCTTGCTGTCTATAACCCCTAAATAATAAATTTCAGAAAAATTCAGAAACATTCTCAATAAAAGTATTACAATATAATGATATATTTATTCAAACAAATGGGATTTAAATCAAAATATCATTGTAATTAATAAAACATGTGTGTTTACCACTTCTAGCTGCAGATCTGTAGCTCGCTGGTCTGAAAAAAAAATAGAATGGATGGCCAGAGAGCTGCCACTCATTAAAAAAAAGTACATGTATATATACATATATATTGAGCACACAAAAGGTTTCTCGATTTATTTCTCCGTTTATTTATGCTGCCATCCCAAAATTTTACTGACCCTGTGTTCCTTGCCACAACAAAACAGTTCCCAAAACTGTTGTTAATAACCCTAGTGGGTCTGAAATTGTGACCATCGAAAAGAACGGAGGCGTACAAGGCGAGGACAATCACCCGCTCTGAGAAAAGACATTTATCAATTCTCAAAGTTCAAGAAAGCTATAGTTATCAAAATTACTAGTATATGGTCTATATAATCTTTTACACATTTAATTCTGTATTTCATTGTTTTAAATTTTTTAATAATTTATTTTTAACTCATGTTTTTAAGATATGTGAAAACTAAAAAAGAGAAAGCTTCACGTATGATTCGAACTCTCTCCATAGCGCAGGATTTGCAATTGGTGCAAGACCGACCGCGTTTTTTTTAATCTTTTATTTGACCGACCGCGTTAACCACTACGCTACGAAGTACATGTAAATGCATTATCGATGTCTGTCAGTGTGATGTAAATGAACTGGTTTGTTGAAGGGTTTTTTTCGGAAATGTTCGATTTTATATAGAATGGGTTCAGATTCCATTTTTTGGACAAATGAAATAGATTTCACATTTACGTTCCCATCATTGACCCATTCATGTTCAAAATTCATCTTTTATGGTTCTAATAAACCCATTTTCCACTAAATATGCTTAACTCTCAACTTTGAAATCAAGATTGTCAAATGATAAGTCGTTCAGTAAAACAAAACAACAAAATGTTTTGGAGATGGCATTACTGAGAACAGAATTTTAGAAAAATATAACTTTTCCGAGAATTTTGAAAATTGAGAAACATATTGTCTCAGAGCAGGAGATTGTCCACGACTTGTACGCCCCCTTTATTTCTCCTATTTATACTGCCATATTAGGTAACAAGACTTTGACATGCAGATTTCTTGTAGAAGTAGTAAAATAATATGTTAGAAAGATGTGGTTTGTAATATTTTGAAATATAAAGAGAAAAAAATCGAAAAACAGCACCTTTTCAGCCACTTTTTTCAGTGGGTGGCACTGTAGCTCTCTGGTCGTTCATCCCTTTTTAGCTCACCTGAGCCAAAGGCTCAAGTGAGCTTTTCTGATCAAAATTTGTCCGTTGTCTGTCGTTGTCGTCGTTGTCGTTGTTGTAAACTTTTCACATTTTCATCTTCTTCTCAAGAACCACTGGGCCAATTTCAACCAAACTTGCTACAAAGTATCCTTGGGTAAAGGGGATTCAAGTTTGTTCAATTGAAGGGCCACGCCCTTTTCCAAGGGGAGATAATTATGAATTAGAGAAAAAATAATGGCATTTTTAAAAAATCTTATTCTCAAGAAGCACTGGGCCAGGAAAGATGAAACTCATGTGGAATCATCCTCAGGTAGTGTAAATTCAAGTTTGTTCAAATCATGACCCCCGGGGGTAGGGTGGGGCCAAAATGGCCGATCAAAGTTTTACATAGGAATATATAGGAAAAATCTTTAAAAATCTTCTCCTCAAGAACCACTGGGCCAGGAAAGATGAAACTCATGTGGAATCATCTTCAGGTAGTGTAAATTCAAGTTTGTTCAAATCATGACCCCCGGGGGTAGGGTGGGGCCAAAATGGCCGATCAAAGTTTAACATAGGAATATATAGGAAAAATCTTTAAAAATCTTTTACTCAAGAACCACTTGGCCAGGAAAGATGAAACTCATATGTAATCATCCTCAGGTAGTGTAGATTCAGATTTGTTCAAATCATGACCCCCAGGGGTAGGGTGGGGCCAAAATGGCCGATCAAAGTTTTACATAGGAATATATAAGAAAAATCTTCTTCTCAAGAACCATTGAGACAGGAAAGATGAAACTCTTGTGGAATCGTCCCCAGGTAGTGTAGATTCAAGTTTCTTCAAATCATGACCCCCGGGGGTAGGGTGGGGCCAAATGGCCGATAAAAGTTTTAAATAGGAATATTTAGGGAAACCTTTTAAAATCTTCTTTTCAAGTACTTCAAAGCCATGCTTAGTGATATTTATAGGGAATCATCCTCAGGTATTAGATTCTAGTTTGTTCAAATCATGACCCCCTGGGGGGTTAAAATTCAAGCCCCCTCCCTCCCCCCCTCCCCACCCTCAGTAAACTTTCAGTTCTGATCTGATATGTGCTTTTTTTCTAGCCAATTGCTCAGGTGAGCGATGTGGCCCCTGGGCCTCTTGTTTCAGATGCGAGCTACAGATCTGCAGCTATAACATTTCCAACAATAGACGTTCATCTGTAGTCTTTACTGCTATGATTGTTGTCACTTAATTTTTGTAACGATACATGATTGCACAGATTAAAAAAAATCTAATACTGTGTCATTTTATTTTATTTTTCATTTTTTAAAATAACATATTTTATTTTGGTTAGCTGCAACAACATGTATGTATTTAATTATAGCACCAGAAATATAGGTACCAAAAGTATGTCTCTAAAAACGCTGAGATCCCTTCAATTATTTTCAAACAATTTTTTTACATCAACAATTGTAGGATATTTATGGAAAGTAACCATGTATACATTTACATGCACTTTCCATTTATAATGAATCAATGATATCTAATTTTTACATAAATATACTTACTACTTATAGCATCAGTGAAATAAGATTGTATCTATAAATCAAGATATATTGAATAAAATATTCTTGCAAAAAAAATCTTTGCATAAAAAATGGAAACTCGAAATATGTGCTTCAAAACAAAAGTAAGACTTGGTATAAATTAATATTGTATGTACCCCTCCCCCCGTCAAAAACAAAGAAAAAAGCGTAAGCGTTTTAATGAATGCCCGGTTTAAAATTAAATTTTAAGTGTAAGAAGCAAAACAATTTTTAACTATACAATAACAATAAAGCAATCTTCACTTCAACTTTGTCCTTTCGATTTGGCGAAATAAAATGGCGGCGAATAGTTTGGAAATCAAAATTTTCATTTTTTAAAAAAACTTCTCCAAACCTTTCGTGGAAAAACAATCCATAGCATAAAAATTGTTCATAACATAACAATAAAAATATTTACAAAAAATATAAATTAAAGTAAAAAGTTTACATTTGAATTGTTCAAGTGTTTTATAATATTAAACATGTATATATAATGTGTGATTACATTTCAAATTTTTAATTAAAAGACTTTTCTTCTTATTTCTTTTTTTGTTGTCTGCAAAAAAATTATTAATAAAAATTTAAACTAAAAAAAAGTTAACATTCAAGTAAACAAAATTATGAAGCTTTATAAAAACATTAGATTCATATAAAGCAGAAAGTGAATTATTATTTTAAGTATAACCTATGAGCATTTGATATAACAGTAAATTCTAAATTAACTTCGCATATATACATTTACTAAAAACGAAAAAGACAAGTTTACATCCAATATTATAATTTTAACTGATACTAGTAATTTCAAAATATGTTAGTAAAATATCTACACTCATCATGAATATGTTCACATATCTTGCAAATTCAAAGATACAAGGCATTGAACTTTTCGTACAAAAAAATATGTTGAATACAAAATAAGTGTTATCTGTAAATTTGAAATCATTATACCTCCTGGCCCAACTACTGTTCACTGCTAACTAGTTTGTTTATGTTGTTTGAAACTGTTTAAAAATTATTCATATCTAATACATTTTCACCAAAGTTGTTAATTTTCAAAACTATGTTTGAAATGTGCATTGTCACACAATGCCTTTCATACACATTTCATATTGCTAAAATTTAGTATTCAAAGGTATACAGAACAGCATCCTTGTATATTAGATGTAAACATATTGTCATGGTGTAATTTTTGAATTTACTGGGTACATGGTAGAAAATACAGAAATTACAATATGGCAATTTGTCAAATTTTAATTTCTGTATTTACACCTTACCAGTAAATAAAATATACAATAATATAAAACTATGTCATAGACCAAAAAATGGAGAGAGGATAGTACAGAGAACCATGAAAACTCTCTAATTGGGACAACAGAGTCATGTACTATACCTATCGGACCTGGGGTATTAATGCCCCTCAGGAAAGCCTTTCAGTCTCCTCACTTCCGTCCTTAAATCCTCCACCTGTTTTTTGAGCACTGTATTTTCACTTTCTAATTCTTTCATTTTCTCCTCCATCTCCTCCTGCTTACGCTTGGCTTTTTCACGACATTTTCTGATGGCAATATTGTTTTTAGCACGTTTGATCATGTATTCCTCGGTATCCTTTGGTACAGCTCTTCTTTTATAGGTGCGATTACTATTTGGTCCGGGTTTTCGGCCGGGGCGGCCCGGGGGTGGTAGGTTTAACGACCTCTGCGTAGTCGATGTTGATTTTTTTGAAAACTGAAGGTGGTCAGAGACACTGTGGGAGGAGGAATCCGAAGTTGCGTCCACAGGGGACAGCTGGTCGGACAATTGACTAGAAGTACTTGGGAGGCTTTCTATGAGGGAGTCCTGGCGCTGCGGGGCGGACGACGCCGCTTTGGCTGTCCCTGAACTGTATTGTCCGTGTGTTAGTAAGTCTATAACAAGCGAGTCGGTGGTGGTGGGGACTGAAAATACGCTATCTAAAGCACTTGTCATGGGCTGGTCAAAGCCTATATTAGCTGACGAAGAAGATGGCGTGTTTTGTAATGCACTACCTACAATGGGTCCATGAGAAAAGGGAGTGTCTGTTTGCATGAGTGAAACTGAGGCAAGGTCCTCCGGAAGTGCCGAGTCTTCTTGGTTTGTGTCAAAACTCTGTCCAACGCTCTCTGATATTCCCATCAACAAACGTTCTACCTCGAAAGAATATGCCAAGTGATCGTGTTCGGCCATATTTTCTCCGGGCTCGGTACGAAAACTTCCAGTGTACACTATCTGAGAATTTCCACCTAATCCGTATTCAGGTTGAGACGAAAAGTCATCTGGAAACATGTCGGAATTAGAAGACGGGTCTTTGGTCAATTTATGGCAATTTTCATTATTCATATTATCACTGGGGTAACATTCATCACTGGTGGTCCATAGCAGAAAAGGGAGGGGCATTGAATGACCTGTAATGCTACTCTTACAATTCTTGGACATTAAGGTCCCCCGAGCTGGGTGAACACCCAGCATGGAGATAGAGCAAACACAGACTGACGAAAAATGAAAACATTCAAGAAAAAATTACTGAACTTTGGAAATATTCAAGAGATGTTGCGAAAGTTTAGTATTTAGACCGTCTCTTGTTGATATTTGGTACTTGATAACTAACCCGCCTACAATATACAAGCTATTATATGTTGAAATAGTCTTCACCGGCACTGTAAAGGGGAATCCTAGAGTAAGCAGACGCATGCGCACTCATCGATTGATAAAAATAAATGAATGAAAAGTGAAGTGCACGAGTTACGCAATCGGTACGCTACTATGGCGTAAGTGTGATTCATGCAAATTGCTGATTTCAGTTATTTCCGACAAATATACAGTGTCTTACACTCCATTTAATGATTTTAAAAATATTTTGTATTTAAAATGTTAATGCTTTCAGTTCGTTTTCAAAACATTGTAAAAGATAATTAATGTTTTTAATATATGAATTATAGATAGAAAATATGGTAATGTTTATTGTTATATATGGTGGTGTTTGTAAACCATGTATAATATAATCTTTCTAATAGCGATTTTCTGTAATTTGTTATTGTTAAAACACCTTCAAGTTTGGCACATGCTTTTCAATACTTTGCTAAAATTAGTATCATGCAAAATTGGCGAAAAGAAGTTTGCAAGCTGATCTTTGACGTCAGAGTCTACTAAAAATCACGAGACTCCATTCATAAAACGGGAATCCCAATACGTCACAAAATATGCGACCTAGATACCATTATCTCGAACAGAATATTATTAACACGTAGACATTTTATCAAAGAACACCAGGTACATTTGTGCATACGTTTTATTTAATATAAAACATACATCATCTACATTCAGAAACAATTCTTTAATTTCCCCTGAGATGTCGAATACATTGACGAGGGGTGTTTTAAAAGAAATCACAGCAGAGAACAACTGGGGCATGATATGGAGGTGGATGCATGGTGTTAAGCAATATTAAAGAATGTTTGTGGTTCGAGGTCAAAAGAGAATTCAGGGGGTGACTTAATTATACCTGTTGCCACACCTCCACACCTTATGCAGAATTAAGTCCAGTGTTCAAACGCTGCTTGCGATTTTTATAGACTCTTCATTTACACATGCATGCAATAGTTTTAAGGTGTGGGTTTCTTTTTAATTTCGCTCAAACTGAATTTCCGAAAATTTAAAGCTCCATATAGGATTGAAAATTAACAGAATAAAATAAAATATTTATAACAGACATATTTTATTGTTCATTAAATATTGTTTGTTCGTTATCAAGAACCTTAATCATTTGTTAAATATTTAAACTTAAGTCTATGATCATTTCATCATGATTTGTACCTTATATAGCAGAATCATTGCAAATAAAATCTAACAATCATAAAGCAGACAAAAGTACCATAACTCAATAGTATAGTGAGAATATCGTCTTACGATACAAGTATAGATTTAATAAACATAATAATTAACATGGTATAAACAATATACACTTATCCACTGGGTGTGAGTGGATAGCTCTTTTATAATACCCGCGACAGAGAACTATTCCCCGAGGGCTTGCCCGAGGGGAATAGTTTCTGTCAAGGGTTTGATAAAAGAGCTATCCCACTCACACCCAGTGGATAAGCGTTTTATTATACTGATGTATAATATAATTTCTGCGGTTTGAATTTTTTTGGAGTAAGATAATACTGCAAGAATAATCTGAAATCCTGATGACGTCACAATGCTACTGAGGTCATTATGACATCACCAGTCGATAGATTTAACGCTGGTAATCAAAATTGGAGGCAAAAATTGCATGAAAATTTTCCGAGGGTGGATAGTATACACTTATCCAATGGTTGTGAGTGGGATAACTCTTTTATCAAACCCGCGACAGGGAACTATTCCCCGTGGGCTTGCCCGAGGGGAATAGTTCCTGTCAAGGGTTTGATGAAAGAGCTATCCAACTCACAAGCAGTGCCGGATAAGTGTTTTATTATACTTATGTATATTGTAATTTGTAAGGTTTGAATTTTCTTTGGAATTAGATAATACTGCAAGAATAAGCTGAAATCCTGATGACGTCACAATGCTACTGAAGTCATTATGACATCATCAGACTATGGATTTAACGCTGGAAATTAAAATTGGCGTCAAAAATTGCATGAAAATATTCCGAGGGGTGGGTAGCAAAAACTATACCCCGGGGTATAGCTTTCTATGCGGGGAAATTTTCCGACTATGAAGAATAGTTATTTTACCTTCTGAACTTTATACAGGAAACATTTTAACAGAAGTAAAATAACTGTATTTATATTTCAAGTATGGTTTTTTTCTTTGCTTTGTAAATCACTATCTATTACTTATAATTAACATAACTAAGGGCCTTTACAGCACGAAAAAAATGTGTCTCAATTCTGAAAATAGAGCCCTACCGAATGAACATCAAGCATGCTTGAAATAGAAGTTATATAATAAAATGTAGAAAATATAATGTGGTGTATGAAAAGCTAGTATATTCAAAGAGCGGGCTGAGTTTTCAAAATTGAATTAATATAAGGTAACCTTACAGTGGGTCTTTGTGTGTGTTAATTGATCGTGGGAACTCTGCCAAGTTTTTTAAACTGTTGATCAATATAGGCCTCCAGTTCCACGCACTGATGAAGGCCGTGCTTGATATTTACCTTCTGATTGTAAACTCGCATGATATCCTGTCGCTCTCTGGGGGTCCGAGTGACGTCACAGTGTATAGTTACTAGGCGCGTCATCGTAAACGTTTACCCTCACCACGGTAAACAGCACCCTGATCGTGAGTACACGAGTATAGAGTAAATTTATTTTGTTGGCTATTTAAACTTGTAAAGTTTAGAGATTTAGTGTCATCGACGAGCTATAAGTGATACGCATTTGTTTGTTAACACTTATATAATAAAGCAAGCACTGACTAATGGTATTTATATTTTTTGCTTTATTCTTCAGTTTTTATTACCATCACACTACATGTATGTTACACAAGCGGTCGACCAAGATTTTACAAACCATGAATATCACTCGTGAATGACCCGAGCATTATTAAAGGCCAATAGATCGAATACGTAACGGTCAGCTGTAATAAGGACCCGGATGTTGGTTAAAAATTTTAACTAGGTGTACTCTTGCCAATTTAATTATAACTGAGTAGACATCAGTTTGCAACACAGTATTACATAATTACATTTCCAACAAAAAGCGCTCACATTTTCAAAGCAAGATTAAAGATGCAATTTAACGACGTTCGATCCTGATATTTAAAGTCTTAAACTTTTTTTGCCAAGTATATTTTTAGTTTCTATATACATAGCTTAATTAAAATTCAAATCAAAAAATGGGGGTCAATACGCTTCTTTTGGCGCTACAGTACATTTAATATGACCTTCTTGCACTGAAATTTGTGTCGTAATTAAAAAATAAATTTTTGACGTTTTCCCTCCAATATTTTTATACAATTAAAGCATGAAACAAAATGAACTCTAAGTTTGTTTAAAAAAAGACACTTAAAAATTGTGACTAAGAAAAAGTTTCAAATTGCTTCGCATAATTAATTATTTGACCTTTCTGCACTAATGAAAAGTGATTTTTCGGGCATTGAAAATTTAATAAGCAAGAAAATTATTTTAAAGTCTTAAACTTTTTCTGATTTTAAACAAATAGGTCAAATTTATCTTGAATATTTAGAAAAGAATATTAAAAGTGGGGGTACATGATGAAAATTTTCAGATATTACTAAAAAAGTGTCAATTTTACGTTAAAATTGGCTCAATTTTTTACCCGGATTTTCGGAATATATTGTCTATATTTGTCACACTTTGTTGATAGAGTACATAAGAAATAATTTAATAGATATTTCAGAACCAGCATAACACATTTCACTGCAAAAAACAGCTTTGTGTGCAACAGGATGGAAAAATAGGAATCCAAAATTAACAGTACTGTTATAGTTCAAAATGGAAAAACTGATCATTTTCGTCTAAAAAACCTTCCGCCACAAAATATAGTTCCTAGCTTAATTCTACTTGAATGCAATTTAATCGCGGTTTTTTCCAATGGATATAGTTAAATTTGCACTGTAGAATTCAGATTTAATGTTAGAACTTAAAAATGATGCAGAATTTTATAAATAAAGGACCTGACCAAAATACGCTCAAAATCTCAGGATCGAACGTCCTTAAGATTAATTTCTTGACTGAATGTGCGCTACAGTATTGAATATCATGAAAATACCCTATTTTCTACATAATACTGCTTAAGCCGTAACGTACTGGAAAAAGAAAGTTAAAATTGATTATGACGTCATAATGGATCTAGCACCAAAAAATTAGTCTAAAGCTATTTACTAGATCTTGACCTTAAGCACACCAGTTATGAAGGGTGTAAAATTCACATTAAAGATTAAAGAAATAAACAGTTATGAAGAGGGAAAATTAGAGAATGTAAATATAAGCATTGAATTTATATTTTTGTATGTCGTCGGCCCTATAACACACCTGGCCGTGCCGACAAATTATAATACCGCACGTTAAATTCAATGCTTAACATTGCACAAGATTTGCAGTCTCATTCAACCTCACGCACTGTTGTCTCCGTAAATGCAGACGTCGTGTGACGTCACAGTATAGACTGTGTCTCGTGCGGTTTGACGTTTAAGGAGGCGGATCAACAATCCATTTGTACAGAACTACATGTGCTCGCCCAACGGTCACACCGTAAAACATATAATATCAATCTCAATGTTTTACACTATTTTTACCCATTGTTACATTACAATTTACAACACTGGGGTTATATTAGCTTTCCTTCGGCATCGTGACGTCATGATTTTATGATAGAGAATCTATGCATTGTGATGTCACGTTAAATAACTAGCTGCAGATCGGTAGCTCTCCGAAAAAAATATATTGATTGACTGGAGAGCTACAGTGCCACCCATTGAAAAAAAACTGTATATTTATTGCGCACAAAAAAGTGCGCTCGGTTCTTGATTAATTTTTCCAAATTCTTACCTCAATTGCAAAAAAAGGGAAGATTTCAAAAAATTTCTTTCTCCTCTATCAAGTACTCTCGTGAACGAAGCATATTCGACCGAATTTTCTTTGAAACCAAAATGGCAGTATAAATAAGCGAACTGTTCTATGATTACAATATCAGGGTCAAGAGGCTATTAACAATAATAATGA